GTTTTTTTATACCCTTTATACCCTTTTATCACGAGATTATTTTCATTTAAAACGCTGGCATGAAAGGCCTCAGAGGCCTGTCGCGATAAACCATAAATCAGTTAATCGCATAATGAATGGAAATTATCGGCTTCATTTTTTTTTATCGGCTTTATTGTTTCTTCGAGTCTTTCTTTCTACTGAAGACCCTGGATGACAAAAGGCTCTTCACTGACCCCTCCCTTTCTCTTTTCTCTTTAAAATCCATTTAAACCATCCAAAATTGTGTTTTCGGATCGGTAAAAGAAGCTAAGCTGAGAAGCTAAGCTACGAGCTAAGCTAACAGGAGAGACAGCCCATGTCATGTCTAGGGGCCTCCCTCCCATTTTTCTTAGAGCCACACTGCTCGCTCTCTCACTATCCATCCTTTGGTTCAAATGGTCTTATACTGCTATCCAATGGTCAAAAAAGTTACTACACACAAAAATTAAGCAACATTTCTTCTTAAATTTGACTATAATTACTAATTATTGTCAAATTTCAAACAACATTATTGTTTATCACAATAATTTCTTAGACAATTAATCGCCCAGCAAAATTTGTTATCATGACAGGCCTAGTCGTCAGGCACTATGTATTCCTTCAACTTGGTCTTTAATGGGTCATGTTTTTCACTTCTTGGAAACATTTTTAACAAAGTGGTTAGTAAACATAAATTCAGAAAACTCCATAATAAATGAAAATGTGTGTGTGGCGTCTAATGAGGACTTATAATACTTGAGTTTTCATTTCAAACACTCGAAGACAGTCTGGATAGGACAGATTCCACATCCACACACACCATATTGTGCTCATGGAGCAGCGTTTGACTCAGTGGAAAGAGAAAAGAAGACATCTTGTCAGATTTAACAAGACTTCCTCCAAAGTCACAAAAAAGCTTTTTAACGGGTTTTTTTTCCAAGCATGCATTTGCAAAAACTCTGTAAACAGAGCTCAGTGTATTTAATTAGTCGAAATATGAGAAAACAGAGTGGCACATTTATCGTCTCGAGAGCGCATTTGTAACATAATGAAAAGTGCTGCCAACCAAAGTGTTATAAGACGACAGAGTGGACTCACAAAGCAAGAAGTTTCCTGGGGAAACATGGAGAAGTGTTTGCTTGTTTTCTTCTGTATTTGATTATGTTTTTTGTGTATTTGTCGCTTCCATTATGCTAAGCGCTCTGTACTTATCAGACTGGTGAATGTTGTTTTTCAATTTGCCTATGTTATATTTGCTTGCAGCCCTAAAGGCCACAGCTGATTTTTTTATTTTTTTTAATAGAGCTAAGTATATTCTTGGTCAAACAAAAAATACAACCAAGAAAATACACTTCAGGCGCTAAGCTTCTTGAGAAATGTGTTTTGCTCGGCTGCATTGTCAGGTTTGCAGATTCACATTAGTGGAACGTGGCTCAACCTTCAGCTGCTGCTTTCCCTCCTGTTGACACAGAGCTTCATCTAAATTTAACTTTTTGAACTGTGGAAAAACACATTTGAATTTTCCAGTAAAAAGCTCTCAGATATTAAATGGCCTAACATTCCATGAAATAATATTTCCAGTGTATTTTTTTGTTTGTTTGTTTGTTTTAATCGAATCTCATAACAAAAAGGGGTGGAGTCATTTTGGTTAAGTGATGTTATACGCAACTTTATGTGGCCTGTTAGTGCCTTAAATTTTTGTTGCAAATGACTCCCAGCTGCAAATACACAGTTTGTCTTAATATCAGTAAAACTGATTGAATTCGCCATTTTTGAGTTGGTTAATGTTGATTATCTGCGGCAGACATCTTGAAATCATTTGAATTAAACAGTTAACGAGATGAAGACGTGCATTCAATTATTACTTTCTTGGAGTTCCGTTAAATTTTGTACACAGGGTCAGGAAAAATTTTAACACTACAAACACACACACACATGAGTAAAAACAAGATTGCAGATGATTTTAAAAGACTTCAAGAACAATAAACAGAACTGTTGCCCTCCTTCAAAGTGGAATGTTTGTTCATTGTGTGAAGTGTCTTAATAATGGTTGAATTCACAACACCGTTCCTTCTCGTATCTGCGTAGTTATCATTGCTGTGGCTGTGGGGGGTACGTAGCATCATTTCAAACCTCATTTAACGCCAAACAGCACCCCTTTCTGAAGCTCAAATTGCTCACCGTAGAGCAGCAGAGAGACTCCAGACATTCATTAGCTTAATGAAAACAGGCCACTCTTCCTCCGCCGCCCAGTGAGCTCCTTCTCCTTGTAGCCGCTGCGACCATCTGCTCTCCAGCTCCCTGCCAGCCGCAGGATCGGCCTGTCACAGCAACTTTCCGTGAAGAAAAGCGTCCACAAAGGTGCCTTAATCACTCAGATCAGAGGACAGGCAAGGGCAGCAGGGATGCTTTCCATTTCCTTTTCTTCTTCTTTTTTTTCTTCTTTTTCAAATTTAATCAGTTTTATCCCTTGATGCCTTGCTCTCCTGCTTGCAGCATTCACTGGTGATGTTAATGATGTTGATGAAAGAAGCTGAGTGTGCAGTTATTGGAGATGCAGCAGCCTCACACAGCTGGCAGTAAGTTATTAGCTGCTCAACCACGGTGGGAGAGGCTGCATTCTGCAAAGGTTAATATCATTTAAGGGTTAGCCATAGTGTGTGGGCAGCTGACCACCTGTTCCTCTCAGAAGGGGCACTTTTTATAATCTCATCTGAAAGTGAATGTTTGAAAAAGACAAGTTATGGTATTAAGACAGCAAAAGTAATCTTCATGTTTGTTGATGGAGCAATATTGTATATACACCTACAACTGATTAACTTTTGGGTTCAACCCAATTCAAGATGGCTACCACAACCAACTGATCTTAGAATCCACAAAAACTGCCAGTTCTTTTAGAAACTGAGCTAAAATTTTATGCGGTAGTAGCTGAGATTGTTAGCAAAATATCTCATCTAACACAACTCTCATAAAACATTTATTTGCTGCACATCTACAACTTTTGGCCAAACTCAAGATGGCCACCACAGCTAATCCAACTTGACACAAAGATTGCGACGCCTCAGTGAATTTCCAACACTTAGCTAAATCTGGTGTGGTAGTAGCTGACAGCACATACTCCAAACACTAACAGATCATGCAAGAAATCATATTTTTGCATGAGACTGCACATTATGTTCAACGCTTCACCAAAATGTCTTTATTGTTTAATAAATTTGTGTTATAAGATAATGGTAGTCTAAAATGAAAGTAAGCGAGTGAAATGCCTTCTTTAAAAAAAGTTAAGACTTTTAATTAACTTAGATCTGATTCTTTATTTTAAATGCAAATACTTATTCTTTATTCAGAATCAGAAGAATTAGAATAAACTTTATTGGCATTGCACCGAGATACAACGAGAATATGTACGTACAGTCGTCCGAAAGATGGGCGGAGTGCACAAAGCTGCAGCTATAAATAGCGCGGCCCTTTTATTCTTATTCAGAATAATATTTTGTTTAGATGAGAAAAGGGAAGAAAACTTGAGAGACAGTATAAAAAAAACGATCTCTCACACCGTGTCCTAGACAGGGCACGATTTGAGGCATCAAAAAAACCTACCACAGGTAATATTTGTACATTTCAAAGAGCTGACGAGTATAAAAGTAGGAATGCATAATATTGGATTTTTGGCCGATATCCAATATGCCAACATGTTAAAGCTTATTTGAACGATACCGATATGGATATTTGACCCTCCTAGACCTACTAACCGAGACTACACAGCTTTCTCTGCCATGGAAATAAAATACTACGTTATTCTGCATGGTCTTTGTCAGTTTGGCCGGCTACCAAATGTAGATGCTAAAAAAGAGGCTGAAAATGATGTAACACTTCAACTTGGATTATGTTTAATGTCAAATTTATTCATGACATTTCTAACACCATGACAATACTAGAACAGTCATACAAAAACAGTGTATATATAGTGTATATATGTATAAACAGCGCCTTTTATATCTGTGAGTTATTTTGATGGAATAGGCGATATTTAACTTTATCGCCAATATCGCCCGATACCATGCCGACAATGTTGTGCATCTCTATATAAAACGATTATTTCTACCTTCATTATAAGCGGCTTCATGTATTATGCTGATAGCTTTTTTTCTGAAGTTTCATTATTAGGTTAAATACAGCAGAAGTTTTATTTATGTTTGTTTTAGTTGTTGCCCCTCTGGTTAGATATTTCTCAGAAAACTCACATTTGACTCCAGTGGTGTTGTGCATTAACCAGCTAAATTAATCACTGCTAATCTTAGCAGCAAGGTGCCAGCAGCACCCCGGACCAATGCTTTTCTCAGTATGAACACGAGCTGGTGCACAGTGAGAGGAAAATGATAGTCAGAGCCTTGAGGCTCGAATCTGATGGTTTGTCATCTGGATAGTATTACTTAATTTCCCACTGGGAAGAAACTCATTATTTCTGACTTTATCTCAGCACTGACCTCTGGAACTGTTTCAGGAATGTTATTGGTTCGAGTCCATGCTCCCTTTTTTTTTTTAGTCCACAGCCCAACATGGATGGTGAATGCAGATAAGATACATCACCAGCGAGCGCTCAGTTCAAGCGAGGAATAGACACATATGTCACCCCGGACCACAGATGAGAATCGCAGTCACCTTTCGAGTGCGCCACACACAAGAGCAAAATGATATTGATTTATTACAGGCTACATTACAGCTTTTTCCCCTTCATGATGAATGGTTAATGGAATGTGAGATGATATTGATAAAATATGACTAATAGACAGCAAACATCTTTTATGGTTAACCTTTTCTCCGAATAAATCAAATTCCTTTTACATTCGGCACATAAAGAGACTCCTTCAGTGACATTTGTCTCCAAATACATATGAAGGTTTTTCCAACATTTGCGCTCTGCTCACATATGTTTGAAGTGCTGATAAACCGTCTGATTCCCCCTATTTTTTTTTTTCTTTTTCTCTCTCGTGTCACAGTTTAACTTTGTAGGGAAGCTGCTGGGCCCACGGGGGAATTCTATGAAAAGATTACAAGAGGAGACGGGAGTGAAGATGTCCATCCTTGGCAAAGGGTCCATGAGGGATAAAGAGAAGGTAAGACATGTATTGATTTGTGCTGAAATGTGGCTGTTTGGCTGCTCTGAAAAGAATATTTACAGAAACAAAAGTGCTTTAAATCCCACCAAAGCAGAGTCGATTGGCACTCACAGTAGAATTAGTACTTGCAAACCCGTGTAAGCAAGTTTTTCCTGTTTGCTGTGCATTATCATATATAATGGTCAATATGAATGCAAAGTAAAATATCTCTTTACCAGTCATTTATTACGCTGACTTATGGTCCCCAGGGGCCAAACGTATCCAAGCATGTGCACAGACAGCCTTCTGGGTCTAATTTTCACACTTACAACATGTCTCACACTGCTGCTATAGAGTTACACCCTTATTATTACTGTAGCCTCTGATTCAGACATCTTGACATGACAGAAGACTTGCAGCCTCGCCACATCGTCGGTGAAACCAGAGCTTCAATTCATTAGAAGAAAGCATGGTGAGAGAAAATAATATGGGTACTTTTAGGAGGCCTTCAAAGTGGCTGTAATTGATTTTTTTTTTCTAAAACCAACACTTAAATGACAGCTTGAAGACAGTGTGACAGTACTGGAGGAGACTCTCGCCTGGATTAACAGCTTAACAGCTACCCTCAGTTTTAAGAAGCTTCATACCTTATAATGATTTTTTTTTTTATAGTGCAGCTACAATGGTCTTTCACCATTATTGTTTCTGTTTGTAGCAACAAACTAAACTTTTTAAATTTCTGTGTATTAGCTGCAGACGGATATACAGTAGTCATTGATTAGCTCATGAATGTAATGGAGCAATCAGCAGGACCAAATTAGCGTTAGTAGAGAAAAATATTTTAAAGGTACTTCATATAAATACAGGAAAAAATATATTAAAATTTTAAAAAGTTGATAGCTTTTTTCTTATATCAGTAGTTAATGTGTTCTTAAATAGAAAATTTATAAGCAAATTGTGAGCGGGTGCCAACATACCTGGTGAGTTTGTTTACCTGCAAAAACAAAGGAAGGGACTAAAAATAGGTCCAGCATTAATGGTTATACTTGTTTATGTACACAGATGATGGCAAGCTTAATCTAGGTCAGTCATGTGACTCAAACTTCCACGTGGTTTTTGGCAAATTTCGCTAAACGCTTTGGTTGCACTGAGTGCAGACCCAAGTATCAGCTTTAATTTAATTAGCTTTAATTATTCAATATATCTGGTAAACAGCTGAAGTGAGCTATTTAAAATTTCACCATTTGATTTGGTTCTATATAACCTTTTTATGTTTAGTTTTATAAAATAAGAATATTAGAGTTCACGTAATCAGAAACACAACTCATAATAGATGCTTTGAAATGTCCCTGTTGTTGTGATAAACTATTCACTAATTCATCATTCAGTTAAATCCATCCTTCCATCCATCCATCATCTTTACCCACTTCTTCCTTTTTGGGTCACGGGGGGTCACTGGTGCCCATGTACAGTAGTAAATCCAAACAGTCAAAACTCATTTAATTCAATTTAATTAAATTCAAAAATACTTTATTAATCCATTCATGCTCACTACAAACATGTAAATGTAATTTGTGTGTGTTTTAAATGCATCACGTAAAGTGAATGTCTACAGCGTAGTCTTTAATAAACGTCCACTGAAAACCAACAAACATTTATATAAAAAATGCTCAATTTTATCCCAGTGAGAAAAGCTCTAATGTGTTTATCTCCTGAGTCTCTTTAAAATATCAGTAATACAGTTCAGTCTCTTCTAAAATCAAAAGTGCAGGCATTCGGCAGAGATTTTATCTTAGTATTTATGACTTAATGCTTCATTTTCCACTGATGCCGTTTCTGAAAGCGACTTTTTTGATGACTGCCTGATTTACCTGCCTGTGAAACCAGCAAGTGTTTGCTCCAGTCACCCTCTGTTAAAATGTCTGGACGACATTAAGGCCTGGATGGCTTCAAATTTCTTAAGTTTTAACAATGAGAAGACTGAAGTCATTGTCTTTAGCCCTAGCTCAACTGCCGCCACTGATCCTGTCAACCTGGACTCTCTTCAGCCATATCTGAAGCAGTCTGGTAAAAATCTAGCGATGGTTTTAGTCTCTGACTTCAAGTTTGACAAATCAACTCTGTTCTGCAGAAAAGCTTCTTCCAACTCAGACCAACTCAGACAGGTAGCTAATCTCAAGCCAGTATTGTCCAGATCCGACCTTGAGAAATTAGTCCACGCCTTTGTCACGACCCGATTGGACTATTGCAATGCACTGTATGCTGGGGTCAGCCAGGCCTCCATTTCACGTCTTCAGCTCGTCCAGAATGCTGCTGCTCGGCTTTTAACCGGAACTCGTAGGTCTGAACATATTACTCCAGTTCTGTCCTCCCTTCACTGGCTCC